CTTGATTTGAGGTGCTCTTTCTTTCTTTTGGTTAGCTGCGCTAGCGGTCTGTCAATCTTATTTATCTTTTCAAAGAACCAGCTCTTGGAATTGTTGATTCTTTGTATTGTTTTCTTTTATTCAATTTCATTGATTTCTGCCCTGATTTTTGTTATTTCTTCTTGTCTGCAGGGTTTGGGTTTTGTTTGCTGTTGGCACTAAGAGCTATAAACTTGCCTCTTAGGACTGCTTTTAGAGTGTCCCAGAGGTTTTTTTGTGTTGCATTGTCCTTTTCATTTAATTCCAGGAACACTTTCATTTCTTTCTTAATTTCTCTTTTGACCCATTCATCATTCAGGATTGTGTTGTTTAATCTCCATGTGTTCATGTGGTGATTAGGGCTGAGAGGTTCGGCCCTTGGGAGGGATTAGGGTATATCCTGCCTGTAGGCCCAATGTTCAGCAAGTACTCAAAGCAGTGAACAATTTTTTAATTAATTAATTAATTAATTAATTATTTTCTTTTTGGTCTTTTTGAGACAAGATCTCCCTGTAGCCCCAGCTGGCCTGGATTAGCTATGGAGACCTAGCTGGCCTCAAAATCACAGAGATCCACCTCCCTCTGCCTTCTGAGTGCTGGGATTAAAGGCATGCACAACCATGCCTGGCTTAAAAAAATTATTTATTTTTATTTTATGTGTATGAGCATATTGCCTGCATGTATGTAAGTGTACCCATGTCGACCAGTGCTCGAGGATGTCAGAAGAGGGCATCGGCCCCCCTGGAACTGGAGTTACAAACAGTTTTTAGCTGCCATGTAGGTGCTAGGAACTGAACCCAGATCCTCTGCAAGAGCAGTGAGTGCTCTTAGCTGCTGAGCCATCTCTAGCCCCAGAACAATTCTTATTTAAAAGGAAAAAAAAATCTCAAAGTATGGTATAGATCACTAGTTCTTCAAAAATAGTTCTTCCATTTATTCATGAACATCAGGGCAAGCCTGTGAAGGTCAGAGGACAATTTGTGTTCTCTCTTTCCACTGTGTGGGACCTGGGAATTGAATTCAGGTTGTCAGGTTTGGCAGTGAGCACATTTAGCTGCTGAGTCATATCTCAGTCATAGATCAGTAGTTCTTAAAGTGTGGTCTTGGACCAGGAGCATCAGCAGCACATGTTGGAACATGTTGGAAATGTAAATACCTGGGTACATCCCAGACCACTGTATTGGAAACAGTGGTTTAGGGGACCCAACAATCTGTGTTTTACCAAGTGCATGGTGATTAACTGTCAAACTCAAAACATAGATGTAGATCTTTGAAGATACGTTTGATTGGCTTTGTTGTTTGGTGATAGACTTGGTTCATGCTCTCTAGCTATATAGTTTGTTGCCAGAGTACTGTGGCCACTTTCTCTTCCACATGCATGTGGATCCTTCTTTCCTTCCTACCTCTTCCACCTGACACATCATAATTCCCTCCCATCTGCATCATCTACAGGGCTTTCTGCATTGTCTCATATTCTCTCGCAGGTGCTCTGGTTCCTCCATGTGTCTGTCTACCCAACCTACAAATTCTTCACTGACCCTGAAGGGTGAAGTGCAAATCAAACCAAACCAAGGACTATCGGCCTTTCTAAAGCTCCTTTGTAGGGTGAATTAAAGGAAGGTTGGGTCTGGTGAGATCTGTGGAGATTTGTCTGGGACTTGCTGTGTAATTGTGGTCTCCCTTTGCCAGGGCATACCATGGACAAAGGTGGACTACTTTGACAATGGCATCATCTGTAACCTCATTGAGCACGTGAGCTGCCTTTCTCTTACCTCTGGGACCTCCCTTTCTAGAGTGCCTGAACATCCTCCCTCATCTCTCTTGCTCCCCTTTACCCTTCTTGATGAGGATAATAAAAGAAGGCAAAGGGTGAGAGAAGGTTGAGGGAGCAGCAGTGATAATGTGGATGTCTTGAGGGACCAGGTCTGGTTACACTGATCATGTTCTCTTGGCCCAGAATCAGCGAGGCATCCTGGCCATGCTGGATGAAGAGTGCCTGCGGCCTGGGGTGGTCAGTGACTCCACTTTCCTAGCAAAGCTGAACAATCTCTTCTCTAAGCACAGTCACTATGAGAGCAAAGTCACCCAGAATGCCAAGCACCAGTATGACCACACCATGGGCCTCAGCTGCTTCCGTATCAGCCACTACGCAGGCAAGGTGATGTAGTAGGGCTGCAGAGTAAAGACTAGAGCTGTGCACAAGCTGAAGGCAGCTGGGGAGGACCGGGGGGAACTGAGAATACTTTTGAAGGACCTGGGGCACCAAAGTGCTGGAAGAAGGCCGTGGGGTCTCTGAACCCATAGCTGCTCCTCTACAGGTGACATACAATGTGGCCAGCTTCATTGACAAGAATAATGACCTACTGTTCCGAGACCTGTCCCAGACAATGTGGAAAGCCCGGCACCCCCTCCTCCGGTCCTTATTTCCTGAGGGCAATCCCAAAGAAGCATCTCTCAAACGTCCCCCAACTGCTGGGACCCAGTTTAAGAATTCTGTGTCTGTACTCATGAAGAACCTGTATTCTAAGAACCCCAACTATATCAGGTGAATAGCTGGGCACACAGGGAAACAACCTTTACCTGTGATGGTGTCCATGCACTGTTAGAATGTGTCTGTGGGCGGAGGCTCTGGAATACAGTTCCAGAGGCCCTTTCCTCATGGAAAACAGCCAGATGAAAAACTGAGCATCCTGTGGCTGGGGGAGGGGCGCCAGAGGAGGGAAACTGGGAAGGCCAAGTGGGTCTTCTCTCACTTCTGAAATTTTCATCTAAAGGATAGGGATGTGAGGACCAGGACAGGTTCCACTGACATGGTATCTGCTTCTGAAGCTGTGCGTGCCCCACTTCCTGCCCAGGTGTATAAAGCCCAATGATAATAAGCAGCGAGGCCAGTTCTCCTCAGAGCTGGTTGCAATCCAGGTGAGGTACCTGGGACTGCTGGAGAACGTTCGGGTACGCCGGGCTGGCTATGCCTTCCGCCAGGTCTATAAGCCCTTTCTGGAAAGGTACCGATTGCTGAGCCGGAACACTTGGCCTCACTGGAATGGGGGAGACAGGTAAGTCCCATTGGAGAGACTGGGGAGCTGTGCAGGGCCGTGCAGGGAACTCCTCCAGGGAGGGGAGCTGGAAGGGCTGGTCTGCTGAAGCTGGTGAATGGATACTTGGGGAAATGAAGGATCACTTCAGTAGGGCTGCAAGAGAATAGGAGAAAGGTGGAGGAGGACTTTTTCCTGAGACACTGCTCTGCAGCTCTCCCCTATCTGCCTCTGTAGGGAGGGTGTTGAGAAGGTCCTGGAGTCACTGAATGTGTCCTCAGAGGAGCTGGCCTATGGGAAGACAAAGATCTTCATCAAAAGCCCCAAGACTGTGAGTCAGGAAGTGCACTGACTCTGGTAGATGTGGAATGTGGAGTTGGCAAGGGCTCACCTGAGAGAGAGGCTGGAGGGGAAGGTAGCATCTATTGCTGGGTTGGATGATGCCTGAGGAAGGCTCTACCCTAGGAACTGAGTGCTTGCTCCACTCGGGGAGCCTCTATCCCATGGGTTGTGGGAAGAGAGAGCCACCCCTTCTTTGTTCCCAACCCCCAGCTTTTCCACCTGGAAGAACAGAGGCGCCTGAGGCTTCACCAGCTGGCCACCCTCATACAGAAGATTTACCGAGGCTGGCGCTGCTGCACCTACTACCAGCAGATGCGGAAGAGTCAGATCCTCATCTCTGCTTGGTTTCGGGGCAACAAGGTGCCATCACTCCCTAAGTATCATCCTTGTCACACTTCTTACAGGGATACATAGTTTAGGATGTGGGATTTTCTAACATTGCCTGTGTTTTCTACAGCAATTGAAGCACTACAGGAAGATAAAGTCATCGACGCTGATAATCCAGGCTTTCGTGAGAGGGTGGAAGGTAACAGGAAGGGCAGAGGGTCTGTCCCACATGGCTTATATTGGATTTGTCTCCTGCTTAGGAGAAAGAGCTCCTAGAGTGAGTTCTGTGCTACTCAGGCCTTCCTCTGCTATGGCTGGTCTGGCTTGGAAGTGTGTCTAGGAAACCTGTATGTGGGTCTGGGTATCTCTCTACCTTCAGCTATAGGTGGCTTCACCTCATCTCTATCTTTACAGTCTCAGCTCTTTATTTTTTGAGACAGGGTCTCATGTAGCCTATGCTAGTCTCAAACTCTCTAGGTAGCTGAGGATGACCTTGAACTCCTGATCCTTCTGCTTCTACCTCCCCAGTGCTGAGTTACAGGCATGTGCCACCACACCTGGCAGTCTCAGCTCTTCGGTTGGTTGGAAAAATAACAGAACCTCTTTTATAATTTGTCTTCTTTTTTTCCTCCTTTCTTGTATGCCCTTGCCAGGCCCGCAAGAATTATCGAAAATACTTCCGGTCAGGAGCTGCCCTTACCATGACAAATTTCATCTACAAGAGCATGGTAAGTGCTGGGGCTAGGGTGGAAGTGTGGAGGAGGAGGTCGAGACAGGCTTGGGAGAGGAAGAGGGGATTCTAAGATTTCCCTCAGAGCTACCTCACTCTGTGGGATGGAGCAGCTACCCACTGGGAGCAGGCCCCAATGTCCCTAGCCAGAGAGGTGCAATAAGACAGCACTTTGGTATAAGTTCATCCACTAGAGTCTGGTCAGTGTGGACACAAACTTGACTTGATAAACCTTAATGTATATGACAGAATGCATGAAATCTGGTGGGGGGACTATGGGGAGTACAGGTAGGTGAGGGTGTCTAAATATGATTAAGCCGTATTTGTATGAAATGCATAGAAATTCAATAAAAATGTATATTGTAAAAAAAAAAAAGACAGCACTTTGGCTCAGGTGGATGTAGCCTGTGTCCTGTGGCATGGAGTTAGTTCTAGAACACTTATCTTAGTCATGGGCAAATAGACTGGAGGACAGACTGACTGGGGGGGGTCCCCACATTATGGAAGCACACAATGACACACAGGATTAATTAGTTCAACCTTCTAAGATCCATTTTGAGGTGCAGGTGAGAAAATCACATCTCCTGATCACTTTCTCCTGATCACCCTTTCTTCTGAACCTGTGGGCAAGTGAGGAAGGATGTCTCTGAAAGGATCTCTTAGTGTTAGAGGACTTAGGGCAGGAGGGCCAGGAGGAAACCAGGCTGCCCCCGCCCCCATATTCAAACTGAATAGCTTCCAGAGAAAAGAGAAAAATCAGGTCAGAGAAGAGTGATTTCTGGAGACACCTGCCAGATATCAGGCACTTCTGAGAGGTGTTAGGGGAAGCCACAGACAGAATAGCACCCAAGTGAAGCCTTGGGAAAGGCCAAACAAGATGGGAGAAGTAGAGGCCTTGGCCAAAGGCATGAACTAAGGCATGACTGACCAGATTTAGACAACTGTTAGGAACCTTACCAAGTATGTTCAATTGGGCATGATATGCCTTGAATTGGAGCCCCTCTTTGTCATCAAAGAGGCTGGACTACTTGGCTGGCGAGGGTTGGGAGTTCTGAAGCTGGGGCCTCATGGTCTCCCCAGACTTTGCTTTCCCTTCCTCCTTCTCCCAGGCCTCCTGCTAGCCTGGCCTGTCCAGCTGGCTCCACTGTGTCTTGTCTGGCTCCTGTAGTACGTGCTGTCTTGCCACGTACCTCAAACCTACAATCTGATTTTGCATTTATCTCCTGACAGGCCCTTCTACTTTTTCTTTCATCTGTACTTTGTCAGGCAGCTGCTGGACATCAACCCAGGAACTGCGTAGTTCAACAAATCACACTCCAAGAAGCATACAGAACTCTGGGCATTGATTTCCCCAGTGATTCTGGCACGCTGCTATGGCCTTGACTCTGAGCCTAGTGCCGTTATCTTTGAACACTTACTATGTGTTAAGCCCTTTATGTGATTAATTCTAAGGCTTCCAACAACTCTGTGATGTAGGCCCTCTGCTTTTCCCATTTGACAAGCTGAAGAAACAAAACAAAAACAAAACAAAAAAAACCCCAAGAATTGGGCCAGGTGTAGTGTGCATGCCTTTAATTCCAGCACTTGAGAGGCAGAGGCGGACAGATCTCTGTGAGTTTGAGGCCAGTATGGTCTGCATAGGGAGTTCCAGGGCAGCCAGAGCCACATAGTGGACCCTGTCTCAAATTAAAAAACAACCACAAAACCCAACAAAAGAATCCCCCCAAAAGAACCTAAAAACAAACAAACAAACAAAGCCCACAAACAGAAAAACAAATCCACAAAAACCCACCACCACTACCGGAAAAACTGCAGAGACTCAGAGAGACTAAGGAACTCGACTCTGGCCACTAGTTGGTAAATGGTAGAGCTGGGATATAAACTATTTGATTTCTGAGCTTTTAGCTACTGCCCAAGATTGTCCGTCTTCTAAAAGAAGTTTAGGCAATCCATGGCTCTAGCCTTTAGATTCTGTAGATCCAGAAAAAGGGTACAAGGAGAAAACCCTCAGAGACACCATACTAGCTAGAAGAAAGGATATTATGGGGGTGCTGGAGTGCCAGGGAGGGCTGCAGGCTGCACCTCAGTCACAGAATGGACAGATTTCCATAGGCAGAGTTGAGCTGTCAGAGTACAAAGAGCTAGGCACAGTTCCATTATCCTTAAGAGATCGAAAGAGGGAAGCGGCTGTGGCAAGGAAACTGGCTGGAGTGTTAGGAGTGCAAGGGATTCTGGGACATGACCTTGGGCTCCAAGTGGAGGACTATGAGTGGTAGGCTGAGGTGTTGGACACCACTGGTCAGAGTGGAGGGCGGATGTCTGTCCAATAACCAATACAGACAGTGGCTGTTGGCTGTAGGCCACTGAGCCAAGAGAAGAGGAACCAGGGGAATGATGTATAGAGACCAGCTTTGGTGCTGGCTCACCCCACCTCACTGTCTAGATGGCAGGTCCCTAGTTGGACTGTCCCTTCATTCTCCATTCCTGCTCTGACCTCCCAATCCCAAACCACAGTTACAGTGACGGAGACCTATCAGGTAATTCCCTTCCATCTCTTCAACTTTGCGCTTTTCTCGTTTCTCACTAGAGGTGACCCTCCTGTTGAGTGGCAGGATCTGGGTGTGAGTCTGCCTGTCAAGAACTGGCTCCTCTCGTCATTCCATTCCTAATATCCTGCTTTCAACCCAGGTACAGAAATTTCTACTGAACCTGAAGAACAATTTGCCTTCCTCCAAAGTCTTGGACAACGCCTGGCCGGCTTCTCCTTACCGCTACTTCAACACTGCTAATCAGGAGCTGAAGGAGCTCTTCCACCAGTGGAAGGTGAGGCCAAGCATCTTTCTTCCCCCTTGTGCTTCTTTTTCCTCCCTCTTATTTTCTTCCCTCTTTTTTAATTTATTATGGCAAAAATATACACAAACTAACATTTATTATGTCAGTCATTTTAGAGAGTAGGACTCTGGTAGTAAGTATATCAGGTTGTTGCACAATCATTGGCACAGTCCATCACCATACTTCCACATTTTTTTTCATTACCTGACCCCTCCCCCAATCTATAGTCTACTTTTTGTTTCAATGACTTTTATTGTAAGTGGCTCCTGTAAGTGGGAACCACACAATGTTTGCCCATTTGTGTCTGACTTACTTCACTTTACATAATCTTTTCTTTGTTTTTTGTTTTGTTTTGTTTTTGGTCTTTTTGACACAGGGTCTCCCTGTAGCCCCAGCTGGCCTGGAACTTGCTGTGTAGACCAGGCTGGCCTCGAGCTCACAGAGATCCACCTGCCTGTGCCTCCCAAGTGCTGGGATTAAAGGCATGTGCCACCATGCCTGGCTGTCAGCTGTTCTTTCATTCAGGAAATATAATGGAATTCCTGGTTAGACTTAGCCTGGTCATGTGTGCTGGGCACATGTTTTCATAAAGCCTACATTTGCTAGTGTCCACTCTTTCTCCAGGACCCCTCAGTTATCCCTGCCCCCACTCACTAGTCCTCCAGTCCTCCCCTTCTCTCACTTTCCTGCCCAGCTCTACCTTCTACCTCTGCCATCTTAGCTTTCTCCTCCACACAGTGCAAGAAGTTCCGAGATCAGCTATCCCCAAGGCAGGTGCAGATGCTGAGAGACAAGCTCTGTGCCAGTGAACTGTTCAAGGGCAAGAAGGCTTCGTACCCCCAGAGGTGAGGTCCCCCAAACACTGAACAGCCATATCCATTACATTGTGGTTCTCAAGCTTGAGCCTGCATCAGAATTGCCTCACAGGACTGGGGACACCCAGCTGCTGAGCCCTCCTTAGGGTCTCTGACCCAGGAGGTGTGGGAGGACGCTCCTGGTGGTGCTGATAGTGTTGGTTCTGGACCATATCTGTGAATCACTGAAACCAATGGTAGAAGGAGGTGGCAGGGTGCTAGGGAGCAGGGCGACAAGTAGGGCCTTGTTCTCATTGCACCTCCCGCCTGTTCTCAGCGTCCCTGTTCCATTCCATGGTGATTACATTGGACTTCAGGGGAACTCCAAGCTGCAGAAATTGAAGGGCAGGGAGGAAGGGCCTGTCCTGGTGGCAGAGACTGTGAAGAAGGTCAACCGTGGCAACGGCAAGGTAAAGGGCTGGTCCTCCTCACAGTGGGAACTGGCCCTGGGCCAGCTATGTGTGTTTGCCCAATGGATGGGATGGGAGGACTTTGCTTGTCCTCATTATTTCCTGTCCCCTCTCTAGATGTCGTCACGGATTTTCCTTCTGACCAAGGGGCATGTGATTCTCACAGATGCCAAGAAATCCCAGGCCCAAACTGTCATTGGGCTGGAGAATATAGCTGGGGTATCAGTTACTAGCCTCCAGGATGGGCTCTTTACCTTGCATCTGAGTGAGGTATCAGAGCTACATGGGGCAGGGTCTCTGGGGAGGGCATCCTGAGACTGAGGTGGGTTGGAAATGCTAGAACCAAGCATCTACTCTGGGTCTTCAGCGTCCCTCAGGCTTCTGAGGAGAAAAATTAATCCCTACTTCTCTTCCCTCTTTCTAAGATGTCATCTGTAGACTCCAAGGGGGACATCTTGATGGTCAGTGACCATGTAGTTGAACTGTTGACAAAAATGTACCAGGCTGTGCTGGATGCCACACAGAGGCAGCTTTCTGTCACGGTGACTGAGAAGTAAGGACATGAGCTGGTGAGAATGGACATCTTGGGACAGATGACCAGATTGCTGGTCATTGTGACCGGAAAATTTGTGCAATCACAAAGTGAAACATACTGTGTCAGGGCAGGGCTTGTAGGTGTTTCTCAGTAACCCCCATCACCCCCATCCTCTCTTCTCCCCTCATCAAGTTCTCTGGGACCTCGAGTCATCAGATCGGTGGGAGTGCAGTGTGTCTGCTTCAGGGAGTAGAAGCAGTGTAGAAATGCAGGAGTCTGACTGAGGGGATGTTGACTATGGTTTCTCTTTCTGTTCTTCCTCCAGGTTCTCAGTAAGGTTCAAGGATGGCAGCATGGCTGTCAAGGTCATCCAGGGCCCTGAGGGTAAGGGGAACCATAAGCTGATTTGCAAGAAGAAGGGGAGTCATTCCATGGAGGTGACTGTGCGGTGAAGAAGTTGGGGCCTCCTAGAGATGCATCTTCTTCTTGGACCAGAAGTTGGTTGGGGGGCCTTTGTGTTTAGTCCCTCTGGTCATGAGGTGGGGCTTAGAGATGAAGAACCCTTGAAATGAAGAACGCTTGAAGACAGCTTTCTGTTCCCCCATCCTTTCCAGAACTCTCCTCCAAATGGAGCATCCTCCAAGCTTTAGCCTCTTTGTCCACAAATAAATCATATGGTTCAGAAAGTTCTGGGTGGTGTTGGTGGCCCCTATTTCCTCAGTTGTAGTTACTTGTTCATTTATTTGGCTCCTTTAGATTTTTACCCAGTTGCATTTTGACCTTCCTCCCCCATGCCCTTTCCTGTTCCTTGGACTCCTGGGAGCCAGCTAGTACTGATAATAAGGAAAGAGAAGGGAAATTTTATCTGGGCTCCTTGACCGGCTGAGCTCTGGCAGGGTTTAGAGAGACTGGGGTGGGGGAGCAGGAGTCGGGGATAGGGCTCAGGTCGCAGGTGGCCGGTGAGCTGATTCATTAAGTGTGTCCCTGGAGGGAAGAAGTGAAGATCCCCGTCTTGGAGGCTGGGATCCTTTGGAGCTATGGCCTGAAAAGAGTCCTCAGGCTGGACAGCTCAAGCAAGCTGAGGCCCACCGGGGTATGCAAGGTCTTCTGCTCCCAGGATCTCCATCACTCTCCACTCCAGACATGGGCTACATCACACCGGCCTCCCGGGCACCCCCTCCTTCTCCATGTTCCCAAGATGCCAAACTACTGCCAATCACTGTCCCACAGCTGGGGCCCAGAGCTGGTGGCACTTGACAGGGGCCGACTCCCCCACTCAGACATTCTCATTCCTCAGACTGATCCCTTTCCACTTCCTTTATTATCTGTATCATTGTCACTATTGTTTCTGTCTCATAACAGTCTCATGCCATCCCACTGTCCCCATCTGTGTGGGCTTTAATATTAATATGTAATATTTTGTATGCTTTTGCTTTCTATCTCTTCCTTCTGCTTTTCATATCTATTCCCCATAGACTCAGACTTGCCTCATCATCCTCGGCTATCTTTGGGGAACACCGTGCTCACAGCAGTGAAATTTAGATCTACCGCTCTAAGCGCTTATGAAGGGCTGCCATTGTTTGTCTCTGGCAGGCTCTTTCTCCTCTCTCCACCCTCCCTGTCTCCTCCACTGAGCTCCGAGCTCTCTAAGCCTTGAGGCTGGGGTCCCTCACAGCCTCCATCGGTAGGCAGCTCACGGCCCAGGTAATCATGCTGGCGGGGAGACCTGATTAACTTCTCTTCCTGCCTGCAGATTAATCTTGCTCTCTGAGCCCAAGCTCTGAGCTTCGGCATACCCTGCTCTGGGCTACGATAGGCCCTAGGCTGAGAGAGGCTGTGTCCAGAGAAGAGGCATAGATCAGGCTTTGGCCAGCCATCCACTGCCCGGATGACAGCTCCCCCAACCTTGACTTCTCAGAATCAGGCCGAGATTCAGTCTGGCTGGGAGGAGGTAGTGACCTGAGCCTGGTCGCCCCCGCGCTCTGCCTCATCTCCTGCTTCCAGGGCCCAAATTGTCGTCACTTTCCCAGTGAAGTGTCTGGTCATTTTCAGAAGCAATTTCAGGATAAAATGCAGCTGCCGCTCTCTATCCTGCCTTTTTCCCCAGGGCTGAGGGCAGTGCCAGCTCCCTGGATGGGGGTGGGGAGGGCTAGCTCAGTCTCTGGCCTCCCTTCTTGGCTAAGTGGATGGATGCTAGTTCAAGGATGGAAGGGGCTCCCCACTACCTCCCCCTTCTCCTCTCTCCAGTCTTTGCCTTTCCTTTCTTCTGGAGCCCAGGAGACTGAAGCCAGTAGGACTCCACTTTCCCACCTGTGGTAAAGGGCTGGGATTGATCTCTCACTGTGGGAGTGAGGGGGTTCTACCACCAGTCCTCCTCTCCCAGCTTTCTCCTGCCTTGACCCACCCAGTATTCCCAAAGTGGAGGTTGCTTCAACCTCTAGGGGTCACAAGCCATCCTGACCTACCCTAACTCCCAGGAAGAGCCACTCAGGCACCTCACAGCTTAATCCAGCTCTGGTACTGTTCCGGTTCAGTCCACTTCTTTCCCATGCTCTGAGGGATTCTCCCCATTTTTGCTGAGGGAAATGGCAGATCATAGAACTGCCACACTGCATTCTTTACTAATATCTCTCTCCAGGCCCAGTGTCACACATGGCCCGACCCCACTCTCAGCCCAGCATCTCCCTAAGACTTGGAGGGAGTCCTCAGGCTGAACACACGGTGAGTCTGTGCTAGTCATCTTAGCACAAGCACATGCCCCTGGAGAATGACTGTCTAGCCTGGACCACCTCTATACATACTTTTCCACAGTCTTACCCCCAACAAAGAGGGGGAGCTTCAGGGGATTTGCTGTAGACTCACAATGCCAAGTACCTTTTCCTCTACGGTGACAGCGTCTGAGATGTGGCTTAAATAAACGTTCAAAGAAAAAAAACCTAGGTGCTTTTTAGCTGCAACAGACACTTTACATGTCATTTACATATGATTTGTGGGCAAAAGAAGCTGCTTACAGCAGCTCTCCAATGAGTCTCTCCATCACCTCTCTAACTTAGGTCGGTTTATCAGCTCTTTCAAGTCTTTGCTAATCCCAGAGATCAAAGGGTGATCAGCTCTCCCTGCCAGCCCCTAGCTTCCCCCAGCCTTGACACCTGCCATCCTTGGTGAGATGCAACATCATCAAAGAACATTATTCATGGCAGACCTTTGCTGAAGCCCTGGTGTCAGTGCTTGGGGGTGGGGATAGCTGGGTGAGTGGGGGAGGGGCTGACAGAGATAGGTGCCTCTGAGGCTTTTGGTCCTTAGCTTTTTTAAAAAATATTTTTTTATGTGTATGAGTGTTTTGCCTGCATGTAAGTGCTATGTGTGCAATGCCCTACAGAGGCCAGAAGAGGGTGTTAGATCCCCTAGAACTGGAGTTATGGATGGTTGCTAGCCACCATTTGGGTGCTGGGAATCGAACCTGAGTCCTCTGGAAGAACAGCTAGTGCTCTTAACTGCTGGGCCATCTCTCCAGCCCCAGTCCTCAGCTTTTGGCCTCATACCTCCTCTTGTGCAACTTCCTTAGCCTGCCCAGCTTGGTCTTCTGTCTCCAGATTGGTGTGGGCAGGAGAGGAGGAGGAGGGAGACAGCTAGGGCTAGAAACAGCACCTGGGCCACTCTAAGGACCGAACATGTCATGCCATTTACATGTAAACAGCCTCCCACTTCTATTCTCATCCCACCAAATATTTGTAGCCCTTGGTCCTGGCCCACACAGCCCTGCAGTTAGCTGGGTAATGAGAAGCTTTTAATGAGGCCCCATTAGCCTCTCACATCATAAATAGGCCTTGATACTCAGCTGCTGCCCTCACTCTGGGGTGAACACAGGCCCTGTACAGCCAGGGTGACTTTGGTCATTATGGCCCAAGTTCCAGGGTGGATAAAATTGAGAGAAAGGATGCCAGCAAGCACCCCATCAGCACCCCAAGAGGCTCCATGTTTGTGGGGGGTTATTTTTTTTTTTAAATGCTGGACCCTGGCTTCCCTTTTCATTTAATACATTTTTATTGAGCACCTATTATATGCCAAATACTACAGGGTGAGGGATACAGTAGCAGACAGAAATTCTGGCCCTTGTGGTGCTTTAGTAGGGCTGGTGTGTGTGATGCAGTAAGTAAAATATTGGTTGGATGTAATAAGTACAGGAAGAAAAAAAAACAGGAGAGGATAGGAGTATTGGGGTGGTAGTAATTTTAGGGAGAGTGACTAGGGAAGGCCTTGTTAAGGAGTAACCAGGGGACCTATACTATTTCCTTATCCCAAGATGTAGAAGAATAACTTTCAAATCTCTGAGACTCAGAGATGACACTCCGTGCCCTTTGGGAGAGTGAACAGTTCCTTCTCAGGTCAACATGCCAATGCAGTTAAAAGAATGAGAGACTTGAAGTGAGAAAAGTGTGAGCTTACATCTCTTCACAAATTACTAGCTTTGTATACTGAAGCAGGTTCACTTAACCTCCTGGGCCTCAGTTTCCTAATCAGAAAATAGGCAACTTTTGTACTTATATGGGGAGTGAGGAAAATCAAATGCTCATTCTATGTCCAAGCTCAGGTGGTAAGTATTCAAACCTTGTGGCTGGTCTCAGCTGCTGTTTCCAGTGCATCACTCCCTCCTACCCACCCCATCACTGGCTCTCTCAGTCTCTTTCCTTCCCTGGTGTTCTCTCCTGGAGTGAGAAACATAGAGAAAAGCCTCCTCATTTGTGTGTGATGTGAACAGGGGCTGGAAGGGTCAGAGGAGAAGCAGCCTGAGCTTGGGGGAGATATTACAGTGGGAAAATGTAACTGTGAGATAAACGAAGCAATTAAGAAATTCAGGGTGCAGGGCTAGGCGTGGTGGCACATGCCTTTAATCCCAGCACTTGGGAGGCAGGGGAAGGTGGATCTCTGTGAGATCGAGGCCAGCCTGGTCTACATAGGCCAGCTGGGGTTACACAGTTGAGAACCTATCTCAAAATAAATAAATAAATAAATAAATAAGATGGAGAGTGATTGGAGAAGACACCAAACATCGACTTCTGGCCTAAATAAATAAATAAATAAATAAATAAAAATAAAGAAAGAAAAGAGCAGGGTGAGGTGGGGACAAGTTCAGTCATGGTGCTTTGCCTTCTCTCAGTCTGCAGCGGGAGGGATGCAAGGTAGAACTCCAGCAGGATGCACCTATCAGCTGGTTTGGGGTCAGGAAGGAGAGGGGTGGGGAGAATCAGTGGAGAGGCCACAGCACTGATGTGGGTGGAGGCAGGGTGAGGTCTGGGTTCTCTGCAGCACTGATACTCCCTTGGGATGAGGACCAACGTGATGTGGCAGCTTCCACTGAAAAGAGGACAGAGGAAGCCCAAGGACTGGAGGGGATGTCAGGCTCACCTCCAGTGCTCAGGTGGGGGCCTCAGCCCCAGCTGTCTTGGTGGTGTAGGGACAGAGAGACACTTGTCTGAGCTCTTCCAGCCTGGTAGTCAAGGTTGAAGGTTTAAAGGGTGAGGAGCTGAGTGAATGCTGAGAGAAAGAGGTCCAGGAGACACACCTATTGAGCCAGACCTGGCATAGAAATTTTGTGACAAAATACATACGACAGCATTCCTTAGGCACCTACCTTGGGTGCCTTTGGAAAGTGGGCTGCTGGACAACTCCAGCTCACTACTGGGTAAGCTCTGTGTGTGTGTGTGTGTGTGTGTGTGTGTGTGTGTGGTGTATGCGCGTGCGTGTCTGTGTGTGTGACTGCAGCCTGCGTCTTCTCCCCTACCAGCTTCCTCCCTCCTCTCCAGCCACTCTGGGATTGGTGACTCTCAGCCCCTCCCTTCAGCTCCCCTAAACCCTCCCAGAACCTATATCAGGGAGCTGGGACTGGTTCCTGCACCTTCCAGAGCCCCTCTACTCTGTTTCTGTCTTTGCAGCAGCACCAGCCCACTCCCCGATCCTACTGTCCGCTCAGCGCCAAGCTCAGAGCAGCTCCACAGGCTCCACAGGTAGGCTCTAGGTGGTGAACTGAAGCTGTACCCAAGAAGGGGCCAGGACGAGGAGGGAATAAAGGAGAGGGCAGCCTTTGATAGGCAAGCAGGGTATTGGGAGGGAGGGCAGAAAGTACCTGAAGGATGGAGAGCTGCTTAATGATTGGAGCCTGGGGCCAACTGCAGATTGATTCTTTCATACAGGAAAGTTTTTGCCTAAGTCTTGGGGTTATCTAATACTGTGAGACAGAATGCAGGATTCCTCCTCAAGCTAACTAAGGAAACAGTGCATGTCCTATGAATGTATGGTCTTCCACGTGAGCTAGAGTTCCCAGCACCACAACGTACATTGCTCATTGTCAGGGGCACATCCTGGAGAGATGTTTAATGGGGGGAATCTGGGAAGCTGAGGCCAGATGATACACCCCTTCTCAGAGATGTCTCCCAGTCTGTCTTCAGATCAGGGCTTAGATTGGGGAGTTGAGGGGCTAGGAAAGCAGGGTGGAGCCCTGCTGCTGGTTAGGAAGGCCTCCTGAGTCCCGTGTTCTATCACACTGTGTCTTCCCTCCTCCTCACCTTTGTCCTCCAGGCACCATGAGGAGCGCCATGCTGTTTGCAGCCATCCTGGCCCTCAGCTTGGCTTGGAGCGGGGCTGTCTGTGACGTGTCACAGGAGCAGGTGGTGCCTGGTGGGAGCCACAGTAAGGTAAGGGACACCTTGGCAGAGTCCAAGATATCATGGAGACTTGGGTTTCTACCTGTCTGGATAGCTGGAGGGAAGAAGGTGGGTTGGTGAGGTTGGGCATTTTATCTCTGTATTTCTTTGTGTCTCTAGTCCCTGTGTTTCTACTGTCTCCAGAGTATATCTGTGTCTTTCTATGTGTGTGTCTTGGGCACCTTGTAGATAAAATGTGTCCTGAAAATATGTTGTTGGGTTGGTGGATTAGTGACATGGCGATTGAATGCTGTGGGTGAGCAAGGGTGCGCTAAGGTTCTGCGTAGTCTCACTCAGGTTTATCTTTTGGCAGGGGACGTATTTCTTCCCTGGATGGTACTAAACAGTCAGAATTTCTCTCCCAAGTGGTTGTTTGTATGCTACTTCATCTATCAGTTCTATGTATTCTTTTTATTTTCAATATGCAGGTAAATTCCCTTATCCTCTGTTTACCCACCTCCCCCATAATCTCCAGCGGTTCTATGATCCCAGCCCTTCCCTTCTTCTCTGCTTTCCCTTGCCTACTTCTAGCCTCTGCTTAGTCAGACTAGTAAAACAAAAATCAAAAACCAACAAGCCAGGTTAAGCCCGGATTTCCAAAGTTCCTCTAAGAAAAAGAATAGGACTTGTCAGGGTCGGGTGTAGGGGGAGTACAGGGAGGAAGTCTTTTCAGGGTTTTGAGTTGACAGCAATTACATTGGTACAAATGCTTTTAAGATGATTACAGGTGGGACTTATTACAAATTCAGTATGTGAAGTCTGACTGCCTCTCTGGCTCCAATCTGTTTAGCATCTCATTACAGGAGGTGGGTTGAGTATTTGAACAATTTTAGAAAAGTGGCTTCTGGGAAGCTGTGTGCTGGGCCAAGAGGAGAGAGAGAGAGAGAGAGAGAGAGAGAGAGAGAGAGAGAGAGGTGGTTGGGGGATGTGTGGGCGGGGAAGAGAAGAGAGAGAGAGAGAGAGAGAGAGAGAGAGAGAGAGAGAGAGAGAGAGAGAGATCGCCAGCTGCAGGTGGCAGCAGTTGCACCAGATCCAAACAACCAGAACCCACTCAGAAATGTAGGAAGTGCCAAGTGCAGGCTGGACCCTGTGTTTAGAGCTGCAGAGGTCCAGCCTTAGGCAGCCAGACTCTCAGGCCTCATCAGAGCCTGCTATAGTACCCTGGGCAATGTGAAAACTCCTTTGTCCCTCATGGTCAATAAAAGAGACTATCTCCCCAAGGTCTGTGAGGATGAGGGAACTTGTAGAGTACATGTGTACATACGTGCTTGGGTTGCCTTGTACGGGGGTGAACACACATCCATGTCTGCAAAGCAGCCTAAGGATACCAGGGCTCTGGAGAGAGGCACAGCTGAGATTCAGGTAAGACTCTCCCAACACAACATCATCATCATCTCTCCAGGGGCTCTGGTTAATTGGGTTCATGACATGGACCTACCTACCCTGCTGTGCCCAGGTTGCTAGGTTGCTAGAAAAAAAATTCTAAGGGTGATCAAGGGTTCTTGCTGGGCAGCTGTTCCTGAATCTGGGGTTCTGTGGGTGGGGCAGAAGAAAGGACATCATTCTGAGAAGGTCCCTTCCTGAAATTCTAGATCCACGGTGGAAAGGGAAGAGAATAGAAAACTAGAGGCAGAAAGTCATGGAGAAGAGCAAATGCAAGACCGGGAAGAAACAGGGAGAGAAGCATTGACATAGCATAGAGTAGGGAGGCTCAGGTCTGCAGGTGTGCTGGGCTGCCCACTGCCACCCTACCCCAGGACCAAGTCCCGTCTGTGACTGAGTCACGGGGTGCAGGCTAGAGGACACTTGCTCTGTGTGATCAGCATTTCTTGGGTATGGAGAATTCATGACTCAGTAGACTAATGAGACATCCTTGAGCAAGCTGATTTCTTGTCACCTAAAGGTGGCAGGAGCTGGGATAGGGCTCCAGGGGACAATCTCCCTTGAGCTTGGAAGATAATGTGATCAAAGTCCCCACTGGAGATGTTCTGCACCCCAGGAAGTCAGTCCTGGGCAACAAGGACAGCAAGGTAGCCAGCAGGAATGTTTCCTTAAGGGTTCAGGCTGCACTGTGCATATGAGCACTTAGGGGTCGTATTCAACTGCAGATCCTGTCCAGCAGGTCTCAGGTAGGACTCTGCATTTCTAGCAAACTCCCAGTGGTCCTGGTGCTGCTGTTGGTCCACCGACCACACCTTGAGCACCCATTTGTCTTCCAGGGTAAACCAGAGGAAATCCTGAAACAGGGTGTTGGATTCAACTGTGCCAGGTTTGGGGTGAGGCTGTTTTCTGTGGGAAGAGAAGTAGATGGGGTGTGAACCTCCTTTCTCAGTTCTCTGCTCCTCTTCCCTACAAGGACTCGGATCTCTACCAGCTGCCTCCATCCTTGCTTCGGAGACTCTACGACAGCCGCTCAGTTTCTCTGGAAGGATTGCTGAAAGTGCTGAGCAAGGCTAGTATGGGTAAGAGGGAACCCTGGGGCAGGGTGGAGGGCAAGGTGCAGGATTCTCTAGTATGGGTAAGAGGGAACCCTGGGGCAGGGTGGAGGGCAAGGTGCAGGATTCTAAAGTCTAGGCAAACCCAGGGAACCCTTCAGGTGGGAGGGAGATGGGGGTGTCATGGTGAATCAGTGAGGACTGTGAGTTGAACTCCCACTAATCGTCGCTTTCCTATTTACACACTTGTTCTTGGTTTCACAGATCCTAAGAAATCATCCCTTGCACAGAAACGTGAGTAGCTGCTTCTTCCCTGTCTATGCTGACCACTTGCCCAAAGCTCCATGGGTGCTGAACCACTGAGCCATTTTGGTTAGCCTCATCTCAGCAGGTACAGACAATATGCCAGCAGCAATTGCTCAGCCAGCCTTTCCCAGTGGGAGGTGCCACACTGGCTGGTTACTGGGAACTAAGACGCTCTCCTGGTGGCAATGAAGATTCTAAGTCTGGCACCTGCTGCGATAGAGAATTGGTAAAATGTGGAGGAAGGGGAGATGGGCAAAGAAGGTGGGCAGAGAAGGTACCTGCTAGCTGTGTGATGAAATAAAGACCAACCAGGTACCGGGGTTGTACACTTGTAATTCCAGAACTCAGGAGGGTAAGACAGGAAGATTGAGAGTTCAAGGCTAGCTGGGTCTACAAGGTAAGTTCCAGGCCAGCCTAGTAAGTCCACATAGTAAGTAAGACCTTGGAGAGAGACACAGAGATAGAGTTGGAGGACCAAAACTCAAATCTCAGAAGCCTTGACATATGTATGTTGACAGCGTTGGCCTTTTTCTGCAGGTGACATGCATGATTTCTTTGTGGGACTTATGGGCAAGAGGAACAGCCAGCCAGGTAGGCATGTGCCCAGTGGAATGGTTTGAGGGTACTGTTAAGGATGTCTGGAGAGGAAGACTTTCCTCAGTTATGACAGATGTTCTGTAGCCCTTTCTTCCCAGTCATCTCAGATCTACCCACACATGGCAATGCATCTCAACTGATGGCTTCCTTTTCTCTGGCTTCCAAAGGAGAGAGAATGGGGCATCAGAAAGCCTCTGCGACCATGCACAGCCTCCTGTCTCTCTCCCCTTGCTCCTGGAACCCACAGTCACTGGTCTCAAAGTAGCCAGCCCAAGGCACAAGACACTGACTCTTGATTGATAGTCCGTCGCCTCCCTGAGCACAAGAGTAGGGAGCTTTTTCTGAGCTAGTCCTGTGGTAGCTGAGAGGGGCGGGAGGCTCTGCTTCCTCCTCATTCCCCGAGCTGTCTTCCAGTGCCACCTTAGCCAGTCCTTCCCCGGTTCCAAAAATATCTCCTAACTACACTATTTACTTCACCCCAGACACTCCTACTGACATGAATGAAGAAAACACCCCCAGCTTTGGCACCCTCAAATATCCCCCCAGTGCAGAATGAGGTAAGCATTGTTGGCCAGGGAAGGGAGGGGACAGGAGAGAGGAGGTGGTCAGTTGTGCCTTTTCTCAGATGCTATAGATACTAATGCCCATAGCTTTGCTCCCAAACACAAATACATTGCTAGGGCCCAGCACATTGTGGGTCAGACACAGTGACACTTAGAGGCATTACTTACACCTATTGGTCTTTTTCATCTCTTTCTCCTGTGTCCTGCACCCCACTGGTTACTGAGCAGATGAAAGGAGTGGAGAGAAACAGGTAGAAGATTCCTTTGGAGCTTCTGTTGTTGGACACTGTTCTCTTCTGATCAGTACAAAGGATAGGGAGATTATCATCCAATCACTATAATCCAGTTTGCGGGGGAAGTGTTCACCTCCCAGGCAGGCTGAACCTTTTCGTTCAGAGTGCTAAGTTACAGGCTCCGAGTAGAGGTAGATGTAGTGGTGATTTAGGAAGAGATGCAAGGGGTGCTGGAGTGTGTGGGAGCAGGTGGAAGCCATGTCTTAGCCTCTCGGTACACTGGAATGGACCACAGCATGGATGGATTTGAATTCCAGATCTGTTCCCTAGCTGTGTCTCCTTACTCTGGTACCTCAGCTTCCTCATCTGGAAATTGAAGGCAGTACCTGAATCTCCCAGGGCTGTGGTTTTGAGGATAGAATGTAGCCAGGGCCTTCAAAATGGTTCTTCTGATCTGGGAGCTGGGCTGGGGTTGGGGATGTCCTCGTGTGTCCCCTTGGCTGCCTGCTGAGAATCATCTAGGCCAGACCTTAGGACTGAGTGGGCTGAGATTCCTCACTTGTCAACCAGTGTGAAAGTCCCTCAGGAAAGTATCTAGTCAAAACCCAGAACCTTCCGTCTTACTCCATCCACCTACCCACACATGACAATAGCAGCTCAACTGATAACTTCCTTTTCCCTGGTTTCCAAAGAGAGGGATGATAAGGAGAGTGAATGGGGCATCCGGAAGCTTCTGCAATCATGCATAGCCTCCTGTCTCTCTTGCCTTGCTTCTGGAACCCACAGCCACTGGTCTCAGAGTATCCTAGCCTATGCCCCAAGATGCTGACTCTTGATACTACCTGTGCATGACTCCCTGGTACCAGAGACTGGGGTCTAGCCCCCCATTTTCTGTTGGGTGAGAGGGCACAAGGACCTGTAATAACTGTAACTTGCTGATTACATGGTACTTATGGTATCATTTTGCTCTCATTAAATGGTTATTTCAGTCCTGCCGATGGCCAGATAATTATAAGGGTAGCTATATCTGGATGACATACTCTCCTACAGCGTTATGGCCATAAAGATAATTACAGTGCAATTTTGCCATAGTACTTTATACAAATGGTAAAAAAAAAAAAGTACATTGTGAAAATCTACTTTTAATGTTTGTTGGTGAATCCAAGCTCTTTCAGAGGGACTGAGCAGGTAATTGCAATCTTCATAATCTTACCACTGAGGGAATGTTCTCAACCTGTTAGGTGCTAGATAGAATGGGACATAAGGTCACTGGGGGTTGGCATTTAAAGGATATCAGAAGAAGCAGATCAACACAGATTACTGTGTCATCTTATTTCAGTCACATGAGACTATTGAATACAGAAGTTATTCACAGCCTCTCCTTCCTCTGGGAGGTTTTTGGGAAGGCAAGAGGGGCATTTGCCCCCAGATCCCTGTGGATGAGCTGTGTCTATGCCAGCCTCCTGAGGGTGATGGATGGATCAACTGGTCAGACCACCTTTCTGCATGGGCCCCACAGATGATGATATGATGTTTTGCACAGTGAACATGGTATTGCGGGAGGGTCAAGTACCTGCTGCCAGCCATTAGTTCTTTAGCCCAAAGGCTGCAGGGACAACCAAAAGTCAGGCCTTCCCTATCTGCCCCTCCTGCAGAGGTGGCCCTCCCCCCAGTGGGTGGGACAGTGGGAATTTTATGGGACAATGATGTGCTTTTAAAGTTTTATTCATTTCTTTTTTGTCTTCAGCACTCCACTTCTGGACCCAGCCCAGACTGCATCATAAAGACACTATCCCTGTCTCAATCCTGGTGCATGGCCTCCTATTCCCTTCTCTTTCCTGTGCTTGGAACATTTTTGCTTTGACTTTCATTCCTGCCTGGCACACAAGCTGCATAGTGAATAACCTTAATTCCCTGAGCACTGATTATAGAGTACATAGACTGACTATAGTTTCTGTAGTGTTCTGCATTAAAAATGCAACGTCTCTCTTTAACAATAAAGGATTTTTTACTTATGAGTAATGTGATGGATTGTTTTATTGATTAGTGAATAGTGAATGGGTTTTTCCATAAATGCATATATATACAAAAAGATGGTACAGGGCCTGCAGGTAAAGGCACTTGTCACCCAGGCCTGATAACCTGTTTAACCCTTGGAATCTATATGAAAGGAGAGAACTGACTCTCAAAAGTCCTCTGACTTCCACTCATGTGCTATGGCACACACCCACACTCACACCATGCATACACATATACAAACAGTAATAAGTAAAATAAATTTCAAAACAAAAAGATGATGTGTATGTGATGTTTGAATAGATATATCTTCATTTTGTACACTTATTAATTGCCCCAATAGTGCCTTAAACAGTTCCTCATACAGTTGGCATCAGATATGGTGATTAAAAGAATATGTCAGTATGGTGGCATATACCTGTAATACTGTCACTCAGGAGGTAGAGGCAGGAGGGTCTTGATTTTCAGGCCAGTCTGGGCCACATAGGGAGATTCTGTTTCAGAGAAGAAGAAAAAGAAGAAGAAGAAAAACAACACAAATTTGGAAGATAGTTTCTAACAGTCAAACAGTTTCAGATACAGGAAAAGCAGATACTCTAAGAGCCTTGCCTATATTTCTAGGTGGGGTCTGGGAAAATTCAGTCAGCAAATCTGACACTGCTTAATAAGAGAAGGGGACTATGTAAAGACTGTTTTTTCCCTCTCAACATTAGCATGGGTTCTGTCAAATCCTGGGGATGAGATGTGGCTGCTTCCTCTGGGTTACATGTGATTATTGCTGTCTTGAATCAGAGCAGCTGTGATCACAGACATGAGGCCCTCCTGAGGCTGGCTTATTAACATTCCCATGAAGGGAGAAAGAAGGTTCTGGGAGCCCTTCCCTTCCCCAGGGACATATAAATGATAAGCTATGGCAGGAGACAGGCTTCTTCCTAGTGTAGCTGCCTGAAAGTTTCCCAGGGGACTCCAGGGATGCAGCTTGTATGAGTGCTGCTATGTTGGGGTGAGCCTTCCAGTGGTAACCTCCGACAAGCAATCCCAAACTCATTGACTCACCAAGTTGAACTTGGATGAACTTGTCTCTTTGGTCTGTTGTTGCCCACTCTATCTAATGCAAATAAAAATAGACCCCCCCCCGCGCGTGCAAAGGAATACTCTACAACACCCACACACAGAGTTTGTAGTCTAGCAGAGCTATGGGCAAGTGAACACAGCTTGATCCAGCTGGTGTGAAGGGTAGACATGAAAGTTACTACAGAGACAAAAGACAAGAGCAAGGACTCTCAGTGTTAACTGGTTGTGTCAGTCACATAAAGGGAAAACATTTATTTCAGATTCTTGTGCTATACTGTACCCATTACCAGCACTTGCAACACTGGCCTAGTAGTCCCCAGAATATAGGCTTAAATGCCATGAGTGTGGGTATCCCATTGATCCCCAAGTGGGGACCCTGTATCCCAATGGGACAACTTGAGCTCTCAATCTTAGCCAGGTAGTAGGTGATTGCATGAATTGCGCTGATACAAAGCTGACATTGGCCCTCCCAAGGCAGTGTCAGGACCAGACTTTGGAGCCAGAGGCCATTTACCACAGTTCTTTCACCTTAAAAATTCTCTGCTTTGAATGCTTGTCTGGGGCCACTTTCCCCTATAATGTGGGTGGGGAAAAAAGAGAAAACTCCCCTTTATAGCCAGAGGTCAAGAGATAGCACCACCCCAGATTCTAGAGCCTTTCTCCAGAGTCATCTCTTTGACTTTTCTAAATTAGTTATCTACAGGGTGGAAAAACTGAGACACTTTTGCAGTGTCTGGGGAATTTCTTTGGGTCATGAAAACTTTGAGTTGGTTCTGCTCAGACCGCATTGGGCATGAACTGAGAAAGTTGCCTGCCAAGTACGAAAATGCAGAAAGGTTGCTCTCTGGTGGGACTGACAGAAATTACAGTACTGGGAACCCAAGAAAAGAAATCAGATTCAGATTCATTCTCTCTCTCTCTCTCTCTCTCTCTCTCTTCTCTCTCTCTCTCTCTCTCTCTCTCTCTCTCTCTCTCTCTCTCTCTCTCCCCTATGTAGCCCAGCCCAAGCTGGCCTTGAATTCCTTATATAGCTCAGGCTGGCCTCAAACTCCCGAGATCCTCCTTGCCTCTGCTTTCTAAACTCTGGAATGACAGGCAATTGATACATCAAGCATCTTCTCAAATTCCTATTTACTGTACTTAGAGAAGTACAAAGGGATCAGGACCTTCCTCCCCTTCCTGTTATAAGGAGGCTGACGGATGATGCCTCTACTAAATTTCTGGTCCTTCCTTCTCCATTTAGCTTTGTGCATATGTGTCATTGTGACTGTGTGGTAATTTATTTTTAAAAGACTAGAGAATAAATAGTATGAACTTTTTTTCTTTTTTTGGTCTTTTTGAGACAGGGTCTCCCTGTAGCTCCAGCTGCCTGGAACTCACTCTGTAGACCAGGCTGGCCTTGAACTCACAGAGATCCGTCTGCCTCTGCCTCCCAAGTGCTGGGATTAAAGGCGAGCACCACCACACCCGGCTTAATAGTATGAACTTTAAAAAAATTTTTTATTTATTATTTTTATTTTATGTGTACGCGTGTATTGCCTGCGTGTAGGTAAGTGCACCTGTGTTGTGGGTGCTGGGATTGGAACCCAGGTCTTCTGCAAGAACAACCACTGTTCTTAACCACTGAGCCATCTCTCCAGCCCCTTATAGTATGAACTTTTATCTACACCCTCTGGGTGACTTGTTTGCTGGTGAAGTTTACTGTGGCCCACACTTCAGAGATGACTGAGGCAGTTGGTGAGAGAGGCTGAACAGATATGGTCCCTGAAAGTTTTTTGCCTCAAGTCTCTGGAGTCATGCCTGAATTCTGGAGGCTGCTGGTTGTGACATGTTCACCTTGCTCAGCTGTGAGAGCTGGATCTGCCATTGGAATATTGCATCAGCCTTCACGTAACTTCACTACAGAGAAGTGGAATTCCCCACCGAAAATTATAAGAACAAAGTCCATGGCTGTTGTGTGAATTCTTCCTGGGGAGATGAACAAATGTCTATTTACTTTAGATAAGGCATTAGTGGCAGACCAAAGAAACAATTCCACCCAAGTCTAGCTTGCTGACCCACTGAGTTTCATTGGGGTTACTTACAGGAGTGTGAATGAAGGCTAACTTATAGGGAGCATGGTGAGGGGCTATTTATAGAAGCAGGGGTAACTTACAAGTGGCTACACCATTGAAGAAAATGTCTCAGCGACCATTAACTGCTTATAGAGCCTCAGGAAGGTGGGTGGAGCCTCTTAAGTTCTCCTCCCTTGGAGAAGGGTGGGGCCTCATGAGTCCCCTTCCCCACTCCATGACAGTTATTAATGAGCCCAGTCTTATGGAGGTCTCCAGCCAGTAATCACAGCTGCTAAGAGTCAAGAGGTCAATGACCTTGTCATGTTCTGAGGATGGCGTTCCACAACACTCCACCCCTTCCTCTGGTTCTTGCATTCTTTTCTGCCCCCTCCTCTGAGATGTTCCTTGAGCCTTGGAGGAGGTTCCATTTAGGACTGGGCATTCAATTGTCACTTATTCTCAGCACTTTGTCCAGTCGTGAGTCTCTGCAGTAACTACTGCCCTCTGCAAAGAGCAGCATCTCTGACCAAGGCTGACAGCAGCAGTAAACTATAGGCAGAAACATAAATATTCAGAAGGCAAATTGAAAAAAAAGGGAGTGAAAAGGTCAAGATGGGGAATCAGGAGGACTGCCTGTGAGACCAGGAGTTTTAGTGGGAGAAAGTCAAGACAAAAAGCCACCAAAAGAGAAATAAGAAAGAGCCACAGAAAGCAGAAATAAGACTAGGTGGGATTTTCTCCACAAAGAACCCAGCTGGCACACCCAGCCACACCAAGCAGTATATGCTGAGCTGGATCCCTGTCAGGCATGGCTCACCTTGGTGAGACAGTTCATGCTGCTGGAAACTCAAACTGGAAGCTGTACTCATCAGGCCCAGAGAGGAAAGTTTCTCCCAATGCCAGTAGCTCAGGAAAAGAATGGTCCCTAGTTATCATAGTCTCCTGTGCTGGGCCATTAAGGCCCCATCTGAATGCTATACCATAGATTTTGCCTTCCTCTGTATTAAAAGTTGGGCCTGAGTGACATCTTCTTTCATCATTTCTACCTCTTCCTCCACCATACTGTCCAATTCCTCCTACTGGTTTCAAGTTTTCGGATTTCAGGAAGGGGCTATGCAGCACAGATCGGATTTTTTTTTTTTTTTTAGCCCAGGCTGACTTCAATGAATTCACTGTGTAGTTGAAGATGACTTTGAACTTCTGATTCTCTTGTCTCTACTTCTTGAATTCTGGGATTGGAGATATATACCACTACACCTGGTTTCTGTGGCACTGGGGATTGAAACCAGGACCTCATGCATGCTAGGCAAGCATTCTACCAATTGAGTTACATCCTCAGCTCATGATCTGATTTGTACTCTTTCCTCCCCTCTGCCCAGGCATAAGAAATGGCAGTTAGCATCTCCATCTCATTCTCTCTCCCTATCTCTCTCTTTTCCTGCCAATTCAGAGGCTAGTGCAGAGGCCAGTATCCATATTACTTTTTCTCAATGTAATTCCTTCTTTACATTGGCAAGTTCTGAGTGGACAGCCAAACTTCAGTTGCATGGTTTATTGCCCAGGGCAAGGGCTATGCAATTAATAGCCACAGCTGCTTACAGTCCTCATTCCGTATGTGCTGTTTTCAGGGGTTGTAATATATGATCTAGTCTTGTCAGTCACTTTGATGGTGTTCTTATACTCCTGTGGAAGACCCACTCATCAAGGAAGCTTGCTGCTCCATAAACACATAGTGGAAGGCCACTCTGGGACACTCCTTCACCTTCAGATGAACAGGCTTAGCTGAATGTCTTTTTGCCCACAGCAAGGACAATGCAACTGCAGTAAGAAAGCATGCCATTCCACACCACACAGGGAAGGATGGCTGTGCCAGGATTGCCCTTGTGAATGCTCCACCCTTAGACAGCTTAGCTTCAATTGCATGGCTCATCAACCACAGCAGAGACCATGCAAGTGCTCCTCCCAAATTCATCTTTGCTTCTGTCATACCCAATGTTGCGTGCCAAAGTGTTGTGTGAGCTTTTCCTAGAGAGATGAACAAATGTCTGTTCACCCCAGATAGGGCACTAATGACAAATGAAAGAAACAATTCCACCCATCTAGCTTGGTGAACCAATGAGTTTAGTTAGAAGCACTCACTTACAGGGGCAGGAATGAGAGGTTATGTATAGGAGTCTGGGCAACTTGTGAGTGGCTACATCAGTAAAGAAAATGTCTCTCAAGATGCGGGGAAAGAGGCACCTCTTTATTCACTGTTCATGAGAGTATAAACTGATACAGCCATTATGGAAATCAGTGTTGAATTTTCTTAAAAAAAAAAGAAGAACTGAAAACAGAATTACCACATAACCCAGCTGTATCATTCCTGGGCATATAGCCAAAAGATTTGCTATCTTACCACAGAGATACTTGTATCCGTATTTATTGCTGATCACAACAATAAGGGAAAGGAATCAGCCTAGATGTTCATCAACTGATAATGTCACACACACACACACACACACACACACACACACACACACACGACTTTTACCCAGTTGTAAAAGAAATTATAAAATTTTCAAGGACTATAGATGGAACTGGAAAACACATTAAGGGAGATGACTCAAGCTCAGAAAGATACACATTACATGTTCTCTCTGGTACGTAGACTCTAGCTTCTAAGTTCTAGTTTTTATATACTTGCATTTAGAGGCCAGGAAACTAGAAAGGGACTCACTCATGAGAGGAGAAAAAAGAGGTCTCCAAGGAGAGGAGTGGGAGGGGAGGAGAACAAAGGTGATTTGAAAGTGGAAGGGTTTAAGCAGGGATGGGGAACCTGGAGATGGAGGAAAAGGGGAGGGTTAACTAAAACTAAGTATATATGAAAATTCCATAAGGAAACCTGTTACTTTGTAAGCTAATTATTAAAAAAATAAAAGAAAAAGAAGGTATTTCTCCCAGCAACCATCAACTGCTTATATAGCCTCAGGGAGGAGGAGGGCCTCTTAAGCATCTTAAGATGTTAAAGGGCCCAGTCTTGTGCTGGTCTGTGCTGGTAATCACTGCTACTGACACCTCAAGAGACCAACAGTCTTGTTATTGCCAAAGGACAGTGGTCCACAGCCCCTTGGTGATGAAAGCAACATTCTTTTCTCAGCCTCAGCAGTCACCAGGTAGTGGAAATGAAAGCACATGATCCACCAAATTATTAAAAGAACTGTTACTGAATGGCCAAACTGGCTCAGGTCAGTCGGCAAAACCTGATGTTTCCGCTCCTTCCTATTTATCCATCAAGATTATTGCATCCTGCCATGTGCCTGTCCTGGGCGTTGTGCCTGTCTGCTCTCTTCAGGCAGGGCTTGGAATGGAAAGCTCCCTGTTGAGGAGCCAGAGGTTGAGGAGCCAGAGTGGGGAAACAGTGTAGACCGAGTATTTTCCAGCAGGAACATTTGATGAGAGGATACAGAAGGGTGAGGTCTAGTGATGAGTTCTAGATAGCGTCAGGACACTAGTTCAGGAACTATCCTGGGCTGCCAAGGTGCAGTGGATCCTGAGACTTCATCTGGTTCTCCAAGAGGAGGGAAGGGCAGGAGTGAATTATCAGAAAGGCTTTCCAGATGTGTGACCCCCAAGAACTCTGTCGGTCGGTCCAACCATCCACCCACCCACCCACACAGGTTTTATTAAGCATTTATATCATCTATGCCAGGAAGTGTGGCAAACACGAAACTAGGGGCTTTTGCAAAACCACAGATGACAGGAAGCTCACCGCCCAGCGGATGAGACATAAATTAACCAAATTAACATGCAACTTTTTGTTAAAACTGCAGCCGTGGGTATTCTGTGGAGAGGCTTTGGAGCTGAGGGAGACGCAGAGCCTGGAGCTGACCTCACACCGGGCCAGGAAAGGGCTTCTCACTCCCCAGGCGCCAAGGCGAGGGGTTGGCGGTGGTCTCCGGGCGGCGGAAGCTGGGAAGCTGTCTGGCCGCCGGCTTGCGCCCGCCCCGCCGTGCGGGGGCGCTGCCTCCTCTGCTGCGGCGGGGGGCGCTGCGGCCGTGCGGCGGGGGGCGCTGCCTCCTCC